TCTTAACTAGGTTTTTGCATAGGTAGTGAAGCATGTGTCCTTACCATATATGTTCCTAACCTGGCCTTCACCTGGCTCTCTCCATCTGCACAGATCTGTACTGATCAATCAATACTGCATTTAGAAAATCTGTGGTCCTTTGGTGTGTATGTTTCTAGTTTCCTTCTGAATGAGCTACTGGGAGTTTCGGAGATTTCTTACAAACTTTAATCTGTTCTGGTCACCTGGGCTGGTAGCTTTGTAATGAGGAATGGATAGGAAACCTTATATTCCTAAGGACGATGTTTAAAAATTTCCTTTTACTTGTTAGCCAGTTGATTATGTAGGATAGACTTAGGTTGTGCTTCCAAAATAAATAGTTCATGTAGGTTGCAGCAGAAAGTTAATCAGAAACTTGTTGCCATGGACTATATTGGGAATCAAGACAAATATTTGATCTTTAAATAAGAAATGACAAGTAAATGACTTGGCTAGAATTAGGCTCAATAATGGATCAAAGTCTCTCTTTCGTCATGACAGTGATGGTGATAGGATCCCACTAAGGGCAAGAATGATAAAATGTGTGTATGAAAGCACATGTGGCAATCCTACTGATTATCTTGGGATTTTTTTGTGTGTGTGCCAGTACTGGGACTTGAACTCGGTCTGGGCACTACTATGTCTTAGCTTTTTTGCTCAAGGCTAGATATCTACCACTTCAGTCACAACTCCCTCTCCAGCGTTTTGTTGGTTAATTAGAGATAAGAGTATCACAGACTTTCCTGCCTGGGCTGGTTTTGAAATGTGATCCTCAGATCTCAGCCTCCTGAGTAGCTAGGATTACAGGTATGAGTTACTGGTGACTGGTATGATTGTCTTTGGGATGAAGGCATAGCATACTCTATTTTCGATAGTGTACATTTGTCTGATTTTGAGGTTATACACATATACACACAATGTATTTCTATGGTAGGTAGAAAAGCAATCAAAATTTGACCCAAAAACAAAGCAAGCTTTCATGAGAATTAATGGCATTGATGCCCACTAGTTGTCTCTCTTTCCATATGGAAGTAGAACTCTACATCACACCCAGCAAGAGCTTTTCCACAGCAAAGAAGGAAACCTGTGTTGGCTTAAGACTCATAGCTGGTTGTAAAGGCCATGGCATTAGAAGATATCGGGACATTTACAGCTCTCCTTTTAATGCAATGGCTTGGTATAGACACTTTCAGGGACTGAAAGTGCTATCAGTTGATACAGAGGAGAAAATGACACAGAAAAATCATACTCAAATATAATCTGATCACATTTGCAAAAAGCAGAAGTCATTACTCACTAAATGAAGACATTAACTATGAATTGGCCCCTTTAATAAAGTTTTGAGGTACCTACTTGAAGACCTCAAGTGACAAATCACCTCTGTGTAGCAAAAAATAATAATGATAGATTTTTTTAGAGAGATTTGTCTTACAAGAACATTCAAGCAGAAGATCCCAGGGCAGAAGTTCTAACTGCCTAGGTTTAAAGCAGTATGTAGAATAAGCTTGAGAGAAAGCAAATCAAAGTTAAAGCAGGAAAGAGGCAAGGGCATAATGCAATCCCATAGATTCTTTGGAGAAAAGCACTTCATACTGGGGCCTGGCTGGGCAAAGGCTTTAACCAAGAACCTGTCTGGCATGTTTGGTAAACAGTAAAGTGGCAATGATGGGAGAATAGGTTATGGAAAGCCAACTGGTACAGAGCTCTCAAGGTCAGAATAAGGAGTTTGGGCTTTAAGTGAAATAGAGTCATTGCAGGTTTTCAATAGGCTTGTGATGCAATGTGATTTACACATCCATTAGTCACTGAAGACATTTGAAGGTATTTAGGCAATCAATAATTGTAAAATGGTACACATGTAAACTGACTGAATATTTTAATCCCTGGTGTTGCAATCCCATTTTATTTTATTTTTTAGTTCATGCATATTTTTTTGCAGTACTGGTTATTGAATGCAAAGATTTGCACTTATTAAGCAAGCACTCTACCACTTGAGCTATATCTCCCTTCCTTTTTCTTTTAGTTTGGTTTTCAGATAGGGTTCTGATTTCATTCAAGCTGGCTTGGGACCATGATCTTCCCACCTCTGCCTATTGAGAAGCTGAGATTATAGCCATGTTAATAGAGCTTAATTTTAGACTGTAATTATCTGGAGAATTTACCACTTTAAAATTTTCCAGTGTGCAATGTACACGTACATAGGGTTTCTTTTTATACACTTATTATTTTTCTTGGTGTTCCTTTGAAATCTTTATTTTTATTATTATTATCATGGGGCTTGAACTCAGGGCCTGGGCACTGTCCCTGAGCTTTTACACTCAAGGCTAGTGCTCTACCACTTTGAGCCACAGCACCACTTCTGGTTTTCTGGTAGTTAGAAATTAGAATCTCATGGATTTTCCTGCTTGGACTGGCTTTGAACCACAATCCTCAGATCTCAACCTCCTGAGTAGCTCAGATTATAGGTATATGCCACTGTCGCCTGGCTATTTGAAATCTTTTAAACTAAGTGCCATCTAATGTGTATGCTTAATATTGATTTTCATACAACATTGAACAAAATCAGTACTGAAGTGGCTTGATTAAAATGTTTTATGATTTAGAACTACAGAACAAAGAGTCACAGATAACATTACTTTGTGCCTTTTATGAATAAAAATATTTTGAAGGCTATGTGTGTACTAGTGTCATACAAAGTCTGTCTCATTTTGATTTAATGAAATAAATATCCTCTATTATCTTCCATTCAAGGGAGAAAGTTAATTTATTACTTGACATTAGTGTGATTTGTTCATTAAAAAGGAGTGTTTAGGGTCAGATGTGATGGCTCATGTCTTTAATCCCAGCTATTAGGGAAGAGCTAAAAAGAAGTTCAAGGTAACTCAAAGCAACAAGTAACTGAGAACCCCATGTCAAACAGAAGCTAGGCATGGTGGCATGTGTCTGAGGTTCCTGGCACAATGTAGGTAAGAAGGATTGAAGTCTGAGGCCTGTCCCTTACAAAATCTAAAAAATAACTAAAACAAAAAAGAGTTGGAAGCCTGGTTCAGGTAATAGAGTACCTGCCTAGCAAGCATGAGGCCATAAGTTCAAACCCTAGTACCTCCCCTCCCTCTACAAAGGGGGGGACTTAAGATTTTGATGGGTGAAAGCCAAGGATAGGAGTAGGTAAGTTAATGAATACATTAGTCTTATGTTAAACATTGTGACACAGGTGAAACTTGGTTTTTTTCTTTGTCTTTCAATTTAGAGACTTCACAGTAGCTCCAGTGCCTGTACAGGAACTAACCCACAGTAAATGCTCATTAAAGATTCATTAGGGGGGACCCATTTCCCTAAGGGATCTCTTTCATTAACTTGGTAGGGACTTGGTATGTTGTCTATCTCTGAGTACACACATTTTAAAAGACTGACTGCCACAGGAAGTGGGCATCCTCTGTTTAAACATATGGAATGTGAATGGCTAAACACCAGAGTCAGATGGAGTTATTTTAAGGAGGGAAATTTCCCCAGAGAGCCTCAGATCACATCAATGGACCACTATGCACTTTGATAGTCACTGAGTCATATGAGAATTGAAGAATTGAGAGTTGCATTTGGTGAGACAGACTGTAGACAGAATATCTGGAATGGTTTCTATTTTTTGAGCCCTGTGCAAAAAAATCACTGAGGTGTTTGATTCTACAGCCGTTCCTATCAACTTGTAGATTATTTGCTGATGGATCATGTTATTTGAACTTTGCAGTTGCAGCTCTTCCCCAGGAACTAGTATTTCAAAACCTGTCAACAGTGACTAGAAGGTGGGGATGGGTGGCCACTTAGATGCCAAACTGAACTGCCTAAGACAGCCGTCTGCTCGATTTATACCGGGTATGCAGTCACTGACAGTGCCAGGCTCAGACATCCTTGGATTTAACTTGTGGCTCCCACACTCTGGAGAGGCCTGTTTACCGAGGCTGGTGATAATCACTGATGATAAACACGTATGATAATCAAAGCAAACCAAAGCCGGGCAGACGTTAAAGTGGTAAAGGTAAATTGTATTCAGGACTACTCCAATAGAAAGTCCTCAGTAGAGAACGGGCTCTACTCTGCACAGACTAGGGATAAGTAGAGGTACAGTGTCAAAGAACAGAAAAAAGGTACACGAATGGGAGGGACCAAGTTGGGTGAATTCTGGCTCTACCAACCTAACAAGATTCCTGGAGAAAGCAGGCCAGCGTGATCAGAGAGATACCAAAGGTGGGGAATGAAGACTTCTGATTAGACATGGAGGGGGGGGGGGTTCTAGCTCCACTGTCCAGGCAGAGTTACTTACTATATAAAGGTTTACAAGATGGATAAATGTGGGTCCTAGAGAAGGTTCAGAAGGCTGCTTCAGGTTGGGCTAGGGGCGTGGGATTGTCAGTCACAGCATCCGTTGTACACCAATGTTCTTGCACAGCGGTCAATAATGCTTGGCAAGAATGCTTTGGGATCTTGGAAGAAACCTTAAGGTTCTTACAGCCCGGGCCCCAGAGCAAGCTGGAGTTTCCCAACCCCTTGTCATCTCTCTTCCATCCTCCGGATCTCACCACTGGACAGACAGCAAGACAGTCAGCTCTACAGCGTCCCCCTGCCACTCAGCGCAGGAAAGGGGAGAGAGGGAGGGGGAGGAAGAGAGGGGGGAGGGGAATCATAAGGGGGGGGAGCGCAGGCAGCTAGCCCCGCCCATCCCAGAAGGCCGCGCCCACACTCGGCCCTCCCCTCCTTCCCATTGGCTGTTCAGCACCGCGCATCACGCAGGCGACCTCGGCGTGCCCTCCCAGCAGGGCGGGGCTCCGGACGGGCGGGTGGGGCCTGCGCGCACGCGCAGAGGCGCGGGCCTGGGTCCAGGCGAGGGAGGAAGGGGCGGTGTTCCCGGTTTCCTGGGTTACCTGAGGGGGCGGGAACGGGCAGTTCGCGCGGCGGCGGCGGCGGCGGCGGCGGCGGCGGCGGCGGCGGCGGCGGCGGCGGCGGCTGTGGAGACCGGAGGTTCTGCGGGTGAGGGAGCGCGCGGCGTCCACCGAGCTGGTAAGGCGGCGGCGCCGGCGGCGTCGCGGAGGGCGGGGATCGTGACCCTAGAGTGGCCCGGCAGGGGTCGCGGCCATGCTGCGGGCGCCAGGGACGCGGCTCGCGCGCTCGGGGCTCGCATGGCCTCGGGGCTCCGAACCTTCCCGGGACGCGGGCGTCCGGACAGTGGCGAGTGGGCCGGGGGACCGGCGGGCTCCGCGGCCGGGGCCGCGACGCGGACAGGACACTAACTTAACTTCCTGGCGGACTGGTGCGATAGGCCGATGCCCTCACCGCGCGGCTTGCGGGGTGCCGCGGCCCCTCTCGGCTCGCGGGGCGCGGGGTGACGACGGGAGGTGACAGGTGCGCGCCGCCTCCCAGCGCACCGCCGCCTCCCGCGCCCGTCGCCCCGCCCCGGCCCGCCCTGGCCCGGCTGGCCTGTCAGTGCCGGCGCCACACCGTCTTCCCAAGACAGCCCTGCTCCTCAAGAGAGGTCTCCTCCAAGGTAGACCCCTCCCCAAGCAGATCCCTTCCCCAAGACAGACACCTCCCCAAGACAGATCCCCTCCAAGACAGATCCCCTCCAAGACAGATCCCCTCCAAGACTGAGCCCTCCAAGACAGACCCCCTCCCCAAAACAGACCCCTCCCCAAGACGGCCCTGCTCCCCAAGACGGACCCCTCCCCAAGACAGACCCTCGCCAAGACCCCTCTCCTTAGGTCCCCCCCTTAAGTCCCCTCCCCAGACCTGCTGGCATTGGGGAGCCCTGACTGAGATGCCCCCCCATTGTTGATGGATCAGGTAGGCTTTAAGAAATGCCCCCATTCTTGGCAAACAAAAAAACTACCCCTATCCCCCCACCCCCAACCATAAGCTCGGCAGAAGATCCACCTCCAGGAATTGAACTCGGTTGGTACTTAATAGGGTTTGGTTTAAGCACATAGAAAATTGCAAGAGAATTGGAGCTTGTGTTGAATCCATTCTTGTTGAACCGGGACCAGCATTTCCTTAAAGATCGAATTTACCACTTAGGCTCTCTTGGGTTTGTTTAACTGAGGAAGTAAACCAGGATGATTGAGCCTTTCTTCCTGAAGATTCTTGGCTGTATTAAATGTCCACACCTAGATGCCTTGTGCTAATAAAGATGTTGACTCTAAGCTTTCTTTCATTTTAGAAATGTACTTAACTAATATATGGTATCTGTTGCCAGCAACTTTTCCTAGTGATAGCCTTTTGCTGTCCTCTATGTTGATACTGCAGTAGGACTTTCTGGAAGAGGTAGCTTATTTTCCATGAAAATATTTTGTAATCTATACAATTATATAAGTACTTTATAAGTATTTGTTGAGCAGCTACTTTTTGCTGGACACTTACAGAGAGCTAAGTCCCGCTAGTTGGGGCCTAGGGTGATATGTAGAATATTGATGTCAGATGATATTAGGGACTGTAGCAAGGGAGAAGGAGGACAGAGCCAAAACGGGTTGCAATTTTGTTTGGAGGTAGCCAGGCCAGCCTTCCTGGAGGGTGGGACTTGAGCAACAGGAAGGAAGTGAAGGGTAATTCATGCCCCTTTCAGGGAGAAGGCAGTGCAGATAGAGGGAAAGGTTTGCAAAAGCCCTAAAGCAGGAATGTGCCTGGGTGGGTTTGCAGACTGTCCAGAGGCTGATGTGGCTGCAGTGGAGTGAGCGAAGTAAAGTTCATAGGAAGAATGACTGAGAAGTCAGTAGGATAGGAGAGCAGATTGTGGAAGGCCTTGTTAGGGAAGTGAGTCATCCTTTGAGTAAAAAATGATATCTGATTTGTGGCTAGATGGTAAGTAAATAGACCTTGTTTCGGGGGGAGGGGATGGGCTGGCGCAGAAACATCAGGAATTCCAGACCTGGGACTGTAGTCATCATTCCAGCCAGAGATGATGGAGCTTGGATCAGAATGGAATTAGCCCTAGAAAGCTAGAGTGGTGGTGATTGCTGCAGAGATAGAGAGGTAAAGGACACCAGGTTTTTTCCAAGTAAGAAGAAAGATAGCTATGTACTGAGATGAGATCTATGAGAAGAGATGACTAGGGGGTAGAAGACAAAACTAGACATTCAAGTGGAGATTATTAGCAGTATGCCTGTGCATGTGGAGGATTTTCATGTTACCTTGAGTATTCTGTAGGTTATTATGCTTCCCACCCCGTAGACTGACAATTTTTATTTCATATTCATTTTCTTTTTGGCTCTTTTGAACCAACCTCGTCAGTCTTTTTTTTTCTTAATATGCTTTTGTTTTTCTTTGCTTAAACTCAGGCCATACATTTGTTACTTTTGGTTGTAGAGAAACTATATTATCCAGAATTTCAGAGTACCTTTTCAGTCTGTTATCACATTTAACTTCAATGCATTCAGTCTTTTTCTGAATTATCTTTAGATGCCTGGCGTTTTTCACCCCCAGAAATACTATCAAACATGGATTCACGTGGCCATTTGTGAAATTACAATGGGAATGACCTGAATATTTAATACTTTACTAATAAGTCAGTAATATACAAGGATTATCCTCATTCTTTTGTTTCATTAAAGTTGGCTTGAAATAAATGGGTCATAACATATTAAGTAGAACTTTTTATTTTTACAACAAATTACACACTTGTAGCAATAGAATTTGACCTGTAAAATTTTGATAAAAAATATACAACTCCGGCAATTTAAAAGTAAATTAGAACTAGGAAATAAACCAATTATTTAAAAATACATTTCAACTGAAATATACCCTGAAAACATGTAAAAATCTGGCAGATTAATAAATAATTATAAACTGATGTTGGCATCAGTGGGGATGCAGTATTCTTTTTGATACTGCTCTTTTGCTGCTGCTTTTCACCAGTGTTGGCCTTGTATCTTTTAATTTCCCTGGCCTTGCTTTTAGTAGTGGAAAGAGGTTTCATGCATTTGGAAATTTTGAGTGCTTACCAAATGTAACTTCTGGAAAAAAAAATAGAACAAATGACAATATCATGAAGGAGTATTACTTAAAACTGAGCCACTGGCTCATCTTTTTTTTTTTAAATCGTGAGTGGTTTACATATTCAATGAAACTTTTTTTTTTTGGTCAGTTGTGGGGCCTGAACTCTGGACCTGGGCTCTGTCCCTCAGCTCTTCAGCTCAAGGGTAGCACTCTACCACTTGAGCCACAGTGCCCACTTCTGACTTTTTTTTCTGCTTATGTGGTGCTGAGGAATCGAACTCATGGTGCTGAGGAATCAAACTCAGGGCCTCATGCATGCAAGGCAAGCACTCTACCTACTGAGCCACTTTCCCAGCCCCGACCCTCTTAATTAATTGGAAAAGGAAACAATTTTTCCAAAAGGCCAATTATTGTTCAATTGTGAATCTTTGAAACCGAAACCCCAAAGAGATGAGGAAATGAGAGCTTCTAGTTGTCCAAATAATTGGAAAAAAGATAGATGAATGATAAGAGTTACACACATATTTAGAAACATTCATAAAACAACTGCTACTAATCTTTAAAGGAAAGATGTTCATTACTACTTAGTAATTCAGAAGGAATGAACTATATAGCTCATGCAACAAAATGGATAAATCTCCAAATACATAAGACTATCTGAAAAAAAAGTCAGACCACAAAGAAAAAAAAAGTACTGTATAGTGTGTGATTCCATCCATGGAATGCTGAAAAATTCATAGTAATCTACAGTGGCAGAGAGTGTATCAGTGATGGCTGGTCACAGGGTGAGGGGAGGTGGAGAAGGAAGGATAACAATAGTATACTGAGGCACTTTGGTAGTGATAGCTGTGCTTACTGTCTTGATTGTGATGCTGGTTTCATGGGTGTGTACATATGTTGAAACTTATCGAATTACACATTTAAAATATGCATGGTATATGCCAACCATATCTTAATAATGTAGTATTTTTATTAGCTCTACTATGAAAAAAACAAAGGACTCCAAAATGAAAGAAGCCTGTCTGAAAAAGCTACATACTTTACTATTCCAAATATGTGACATTCTGGAAAAAGTAACACTCTAGAGACAATAAAAAGGTCAGGGGTTGCCAGAGGCTGAGGGGAGGGAAGGATGAATGAGAGAGGGAACACAGCAAAATTATTCTTTAGGTGTGCATCACTATGCAACTGTAACATGTACAATACAGAGTGACCCTTAAGGGTGATAATGACTGGTCAGTGTAGGTTCTATTGTAACAAGTCGATCTTTGTGGCATGGGGCATCAGTAGCTGGAGTTACAGTGCCAGTGTGAAGAAGGGTTGTATGGGACCTCTGCTTTCCAATTTGTAACTGGTCTAAAAAAATAAAGTTTTATTATTTTAGGCGATACAGGGGTTGAACTCCGTTTTCACTTATTAAACAGGTCCTCAATCACTTGTACCATGTTCTAGGCCAAAAGATGATTTTTTTTTTTTTTGCCAGTGTTGGGGCTTGAGCTCAAGGCCTGGGTACTGTCCCTTAACCTTTTCAACTCTAGACTGGCACTCTTCTACTTGTGCTCTCCACTACTTCCAGCTTTTTGGTGGCTAATTGGAGACAAGTCTGGTTCAGCCTGCCTAGGCTGGCTTTAATTATGATCCTCAGTTCTCAGCCTTGTGAGTAGCTAGGATTACAAGTGTGAGCCACCAGCACCCCGTGTATTTTTAAGTAATTATAATCAATTTTTTTGCCAGAAACTTGGATAATTACATATTTTACATGTAAAAATTGGGGAATGGGTAAGGAAAGCTGAGAGAGTACACATTTAAACTTTTTCTTTATTCTTTTTGTCAGTTGTAGGGTTTGAACTCTGGACCTGGGCTGTGTCCCTCAGCTCTTAGCTCAAGGCTAGCATTCTACCACTTGAGCCACAGTACCACTTCTGGCTTTTTCTGTTTTATGTGGTGCTGAAGAATCGAATCCAGGGCCTCATGCATGTGAAGCACATATTCTACCACTGAGCCCCCTTCCTAGCCCCCACATTGAAACTCTTTAAAAAAATCATTTTGTTATATTTAAATAGTTACATGAAGAC